AAATCAATTAATTCATCTTGTTCCTGTTCAGAGAGATTTTCTATTTTTTCAATATCACAGTGAAATGGATTTCTTATCCACGTATTATTTGGGTCAGGTTGATGAAAATATTTTCTTAATATTTTGGCCATGCTCAACAAGTGTTCAGATATTTCACTCTTTACCTCCTGTGATAGACATTCACACGAAGATTCCAAAAAAGATTGTAATGTCGGAAAGTTACTGAAAGAGTTCTTTTCAACACGTATTGCCCAAATTTCAAACTTTTTTATAGTTGCTTCGATCTTATCCTCAACGTGAAAAACGTCAATATAAATTCCTTGTAAACTCAAATTTAGTGTATTCAAGTATTCAAACACATCAGCCAAGTAAGCTATCCGAGACAGCCAAGAAAAATCAGTTAACAAGCCTACAAACCTGGTTTCGAGAAGAAATACTCGAATTTCGTCTCTTAGCTCAAAAAAACGCTGAAGAATTTTTCCACGTGAGAGCCATCGAATTTCAGTGTGCAAAATAAGCTGTACGTGGTCACTTCCCATGTCTTTGCAAAGGACTTCAAAAAGCCTTGATTGTAGAGGTCGTGATTTAATAAAGTTTATAATTTTCACTACTTCCTCTAAAGTTGTTTTCATGTGTTCTGATAGGCGTTTAGCAACCAACGCTTCCCTATGAATACAACAGTGAGTCCACTTTACTTGAGGTGCAACTTCTTTCACACGACCCAACAATCCAGTTTTGTAACCCGACATTGCTGCTGCACCATCAGTGGTTATTCCAACGCATTTTTCCCACCTGATGCCATGATCTGTAAAAAACTTATCAATAGCTTCAAATATATCTTTTGCCGAAGTATGTAGGAGCTCGCATGAAAACAAAAAATCTTCAAATAACTGTTTTTCCCATATAAAACGGACAAAAACCAACATAGATGACTTACTTGCTATGTCAGTACTTTCATCTAGTTGCAATGCAAACTTGTCACTTGTAGATAGCCTTGTAAATAGTGTTTCTTCAATATTTGCAGACATATCAGTAATTCTTCTTTGAATAGTATTATTAGATAGGGGGACAGAACTAATCAACTTTGCTGCAGATTCACCTAACATTGTTTTGCACAGGACAATTGCAGCAGGAAGAATTAGTTCTTCGGCTATGGTATGAGCCTTACCAGATTTTGCAACAAGTTGAGCGACTTCGTATGAAGCTAAAGTGGCATTTTTATTACCACTTAAACTTGTCGAAGATTTCATCACTTTTTGTGATTTTTTAAATTCTCCTAACTTGACTACAAAAAAATCCAACGACTTACTAGTAAATTCGCCATGTTTAGTCTCAAAATGGCGTCGTAGTTTGGAAGGTTTCATACTTTCATTGGACAAGATCTCCAAGCAAATAATACACTGTGGTTTTGGTTCATCTTCAGTCCCAGCAAATGTAAATCCTAATTGTAAATATTCAGTGTTATACTTTCTCACTTTAGTTCCTACGGTACTCTTCGAGTTTACATTACGGCGATTTGAGTCTGAACTACTATGTTGATCAGTACACTAAAATAAATTTATTATTGAAATATTATCAATAAAAATACAGATAAAGCGTAAAATTATAAAATATAATTTGCGCAATACATAATATGCACGCATTTAACGACAGATTAATAAGTAAAAAAGTTCTTTTGATAAATAAATGAATGAGTTATTTACCTGAACTTTATTCATATCATTCACAGTATTATCTTCTTCTATTTCAGATAGAGGCCTTTTAAGTGAACCAGATTTTAACCACTGATACATTATGGTTATTCGTTTAATTTTGAAATACAATGTATAAAAAAGGACACACGGCACTAATCGCTGACCAATAATGACTGAGACTACTAACTAATACTAATGTTGATTATTTACTTTAAATTACATGTCCGAAATATATTTTATTGGTTAATGGAAAGAAAATAATCAGTATGGTTTCATGTTCTGAATTATAGTAATAATAGTGTAATAGTGAAGATAATAATGATATTTATTTCTATGAAATTGCTTATCTATTTTTTTCGCGATAATCAAGTTTAAATAGTCCATAAATACTCGGAATTTCATATTACTAATAATTTCACTAAAATAAAATTAAAATATTACTACAAAACAACATAACCGCGGACCCCCTAAAACCAACACGCGGACCCCTGGGGGTCCGCGGACCACCAATTGGGAACCGCTGGGTTATGATGTTGTATAGCCGTATAGGTGCATAAATGCATAATAGTATGTAGGTATTTATTATTACCATAATTAAGTAGTCTTGTATAAAGTGTCCAAAAGTAGATGTACGATTAAAAATATTTTAATACTTAATAGTAAAGTTTCAAAAAGTTTTATTTTCAAAATTATTTTTTTTATTCATTGTGCTTATTTTAAGTTGTTAAATATAGTGCCAACGAAAAACACCCACGAGTTACAATATTCAACTTAAATTCCATTTAATCTCAAATCCTCGCCAAAAAAACATATCGAGAGAAACAGTTTGAAATGCACCGTCATATTTAATTTGGTTACGTAAAATGATTAATTTTTTCGCTTACAAAAAAATTTACTCCATGTTCATTATTATATGAGCTTCGAGAATGATGGTTGATGGCTGGTAGCTACAGCATATCTCTGAAATTTCCAACCTGCGTGTCTTATCTTCTCGCTCGCTGAAGGATCTAAACTTTATGAAGGTATCGTGGAGGTATATTGAACAACTTTATTGATAATTCGGGAAACAAACTAAAATGTATGATTAATACCTACCTAAAAATTGTTTTTGGATTTTTATATTTGACTGTAAAGCTTTGGTATTTATTGTATTAAACACTATTTATTTATTTTTTCTATGCATGAAAGAATAATAAATTAGTGTTCTTGGAATCTTGTATAACATCATCATAATAAGTATCCTGCAGTGTTGGTCAACACTTCGGAGTTACTTCGGATAAATAACTTTACATTTTATTCGGGGTTGTTCCATTTGTTAGAAGACGTTCAGATGCATATAATTTAATAAATTAATTCGAATACATATTTTTATTACTTATTTGTGAATTTTATTCAAATTCAATAATTAAAAATAGTTTTTAATGAAAACATCGTTATATACAATTATTAACAATGTAGTAGGCGTATACACATATATACATATAAAACACAATAGTACTTAATTCACAAATAGGTATACAATAGAAATAGTATAATATTACAATAATATTAGGTGTTATATTTTTCGTAAAAAGAAACTATTTGAGTAATTTAAAATGGAAAAATAAATAAATAATAAGTATAATAATTTAATTGGTTGGGTAACTTAAAGTATGAGTATAATCCATTTTACAAACCGTCAATCATATTTTCCATGCTATGACCAACATGTAATTTAAAAATATTTTGCTAGTTAAGTTATCTTTTTAGTTACTTGTACAGTTGTACATAACCGTGGTTGCTAACAAAAATATTTATACAATTTATACAATGTTTCTTAAAAAATACCGTTAATGCGTCAGGCTTAAATCAATAGATGATATTATGTTAAGTTTTTTAATAAATTTAAATTGATTTACTAATCAATGAACAATAATTGATAAATATAAACATGAAGTATGAAGTGTTCAGTAGGATATATTAAATTATACTATAAGTCTTTATCTAATAATTCTTTTAAGTCGTTAATTATAATGTGCACGGTTTCGGTTAATCCGGAATCTGGGTTAATAAAAACTGAATCTAAAAATGCAGGATTTGAAAAAAAATCAAAAATTTTGTCTACCCGTAAAAGTGTTTTATCCGTGAGATGTCTTTTGATTAATTCTTTTAATATTTCTCTACACTTAAATAAATAATTAGTTATATAATGTTTGTCATAACTAAATTCTATTTCGTAAAAACTTACAACAATCATAGTTAACTCTCTAAATTTATCTTTAAAACTATTCGCTAATTCCAATTCATTACTATCAAATTGATCATTTCTATATAAAATACTTAATTTTACAATTATTTTGATAATGTTTTTCGTCAACTTTTCGGATTCTTTCTTATTTCCCGTCTGAAAAATAGTAATAGCAAAAAGTAAAATTATAATTTATGTTAAAAACGTTTAAAACATCAGATTGTTATATTTAAGGATCATTATGTGCTATCATTTTGATTATTTATTACATTTTGTTTTTAAATATTTTTACAAACACTCGTCAATCATCACATTATTTTTAAAAGTTTTAGTGTGAAGGAAAATAAATGCAAATGTATAAATAGCGTTTTTATGGTTTAGTAGTCGAAAAATAACATACGAAAACAAAGTCTAAAAATTTGGCAATTAATAAAGTTGATAATTAAAAAATTATATCATAATATGTATTAAGAATTTTACAACAGTTAAAACTTGCAGTTTACAATGAAATCATATCTAATTTCTAATATCTTATGATTCTTGAATCTACATGCTATTATTATAGTAGGAATAATAAGCATATTATTGAGTATTGATGATAAAACCTTAAAAGTAAAATCGGATCAAGTTGAATGAAAATTAAACTTTAAGTTATATTTTTAGTCCAACTGATTGAAATGACATAAATGTATTGTTTCATTTTATATAATATATTTGGCCAATTATTTTTAATTATACTAAGGACAGGTAAATTTAAAATCCTTTTTTTTTTTTACAATTATTATTAAATACATAATCTGTAATTATTATTTTACAATAAGCATATGCGATGGAGAAGATAAATAACATGGCTTGAGAGACAGGAGATAAGAAGCCACCCATTGGAGGCACTTAATGTTAGGAGTTTGTTTTTAAAATGTCAGTAAGAGAGAATGAGATTGATAACAAGGAGGAGTAGGAATTATAGTAATTTTAATTTAGCCGGTCACGACACCAGGTACGTTTGAGACGCTTTCTGGGGTAACCAAGAATAGATTTGGTGGACAGTTCGGAAATCAAAGGATTGTGATGATTGTAAAATTTAGAGTGTAAGCATTTGTAGAAAGTGTTTGCAACGTTTTGGACTGTTGGAATGGGTAGATCTCTATATTATGTAGAGTGTTGTTAGATACATAATATGGGGCTTTGGTTATTTGACGGAGGCATTTTGATTGGAATATTTGAATTTTGTTTAGATAGGACGGTTTAACTGCACCCCATAATTAAATACCATATGCCCAGATCGGTTTGAGTAGGAGTTTATATAAGAGAAGTTTGTTTTTTAAGTTGATGTGTTGTGATGCGAGTAGATAACATAGAAAGCGAGAGCGGTTATTTAAAGTCTTTTCATATGGGTGTATGTTGCCTAAGTTAGTCGGTGGTCAAGGTGTAGGCCTAGGTAATGAACGTTAAATTTAAAATCTATTTTACATTTTATCAAATATGCATATACTGAAGAAAATTATTATGTTTTATTATTACTATTTTTATACTTTTTCGCTACATAATTTAATTCGTGTTTTTTTTTATTAATTTACTGAGGTAAATATTTTGACTATTTTTTATTTAATTTGGAAGTTCTAGCTAATTTTTTTATATTTATTGAACATATATTACATTAACTTTAGATACCATTAAAATTGTGAATTGTTATGCAATAGAAAGTATAAATAGGATTTACTGTAATGCCGTAAAGTAAATAAGATATGTTGGCTGCAGGTACTTAAATAAGAAAAATAAAATAAAAAATATATGTTACATAGGTACCCATTGTATTTTTATTATTTTAATAATATTATAAATTAAAAGTAAACAATTTAAATTAGAATTGGTAATGGTAAAAAAATACTAGGAATATAGATTGAAATATGAGCAACTCTGAAGCAAAAATTGAATATTATATAAACGGATTTCTTGAATACCTCTACATTCTAATAGTAAATAGTTAAGTTATGTATTCTATGTACTGTGGATATAATGATGATAATAATGAAAAAAAAAAATTAGCAAATTAAAATACACCGTTTTAATAATATTAGCAGTAGTTTGTATTATGGTAAACATTTATTATATTTTGTACTTTACACTTTACACGGAATTATTTTCTGTTAGTTGTAAAAATAAATATTTGAACATAACTTAACAGTGAATATAATATATTATATATTACTTAAATATTAGTGTTCGAGATATATTAAATAAACATAATATAAACTTACATAAATTTTGGCAAGTCGATATAAATTATCCAAGATATTAGCATTGCGCTCATGGATAAATAATTTTATAACATTTTTATTGGTTACTTTGCCCAAGAACTTTTTTTGAGCTTGTAAAAAAATTTCCTTTGATTTAAACCCCTCCGTAGTCATTCCTAAATTCAGGGCAAAAAATCAGTAAATTAGTTTAGCGTATAAACTATATTACAATACTAAAATTCCTTTAACTTACCCACTTATATAAAAAAAAAAACGTTTAAACGATGAAATGTTTACTATGTCGTCTTTGCAGCGATGACCTGGAATCTGGAAATCATTATATTATTATATTTTATACGCATTGATAGATTATTAGGTATTATAAATAAATTATTTCTTTTAAATTGTTGGTTTGGTATATTACTTGTAAATGACATATTGTATTATAGTATTATAGGTCATACTATTTAATATAATACATCATATATTATACGTATTACGTAGGCATGTTAAACACATATTACGTGATTGGATCTTTCAAACTAATTGTGACTAAGACGAAGGTAGTTGCATTAAATAATTATATACAATCCCTACCATTTTTGACACCAAAAATGCATATTATACCAATACATATTTTTAAAATTTTAATTATTTTAAATAAATCTAATCAGAAGAGGGGACGGGAAGAATATGTGTAATAACACTAATAACTAATAACTAAAAACATTGATATGATAAGATATCTATCATGTTATTTTAATGTTCGAGCTCAATGTATAACTATTAAATAATATTATTATTTATTATTGCACTGATTTACAAATAGAATTTGTATGATGGTAATATTGACATGTTGGTGTATAAAATTTATATAGTACCTCAACCAACGATGATGGCTATTAGCCTTTACAAAGGTTAACATCAAAATGTCGAACACCATTTACCTACATCTAAATTAACTATAATGACTATTGCCTGCTATAATTAATTTGAACTTGATACTACACAACAATTAATAATAAATAATGTTAATATTTTTATATTTTGTTCATTTTTTGGGAAATCGCGAACGTAAAACTAATTATAGTACCTAATTTTATTTTATTTTAGACAATCATGACATAAAATTCATTTGTTGGAAACCACTTAAATTCCCACCTTATGATAATTAATATTCATTAATTGTTATTATTAATATGTTTTAGAAATTTGTGCATATACATTATACGTGTATCATAATTGTATATTGTTTTTAATTGACATCACCGAGGATTCGTTCAAGGTCTACTTCATTTAGCGTCATTGAAATTAATAATATTCAAATAACTTATAAAATATTAAGTACCTAGTCAATAATATTTGTTTAAAAATGCATACCTATCTACCGCTATAATAATCTGTATGCATCATTTTGAGGATCGTGTTTTTAAATTACAGTTTTTTGCCTCCTATAATTATTCGATGTAAATTATTGCTGTTTTATTATAATTATCGGTATTTTATACTTTTTACGATCAGGAGAATCAGGTCAATGCTTCGCAATAGATGCATATTTTATTTGTTAACATTTGCGTTCCACAGTACAGCAGTGAGTAATAAATAATAGTAGTCTAATAATACACACGTATATATATATATAATATAATGCAACTACTTTAAAAATAGTTACAAGCATTTTTCTTTAAATTATTTCTATTGATGGCTCATTTTATATTAGTAGACACTAAGGTTCCTAGTGTCTTACAATATATTATTTTTTATTTGGTATTTTTTTTTTTTTTGATTATATCCATTTTTATTATATAGGTAGGTACATGTCTACTAGGCTCGTATATATTATAATATAATATAAAATGTAGGTAGTTTGTTTTATAAAATTATCATTATTACTCGACATTCTCATTATTTATATTTATTTAAAAATAATATTTTAATGAATGTAATATCGAATAGTAAATAAACAATAGGTACCAAGTTCAAAATAATTATTAACACCTATACCAAATAATACACGTGAATCTTGTGTTTTATATGCATTATGCAAGTTTAAATTTAAATGATAGTAATGATGTGTATCGTGCAGATCAACGGTGGGTATTTTATTCTACCTATACCAAATATTCAAATATTATAGGTATAACATATTTACATAATAATCTTTATTATATTATTTTTATACTGTATAGATACCTACTTTTTTTAGTGTACAGCAAATGAGTATCATTAAAGTATTTATGTATTAATAATATTTTAAGATATTTTCATACAATAGTTGTTATTTTTATTTGGTACAATTATTGAAAATAATAAGAATTGGTACTCGACCAATCGATCATAAAAAAAAAAATGCTAAATTATTGGTACAATATTAGACGACGCACGTTAAATTATGTTTGAAAGAGTTTTTCATTTATTTTTAATACTCGCGTATTATACTATTATTATTAGTATAAAGCAAGAAATGAATCTATTAATCTATATACATTTTTATTAAATTTTCATAAAATTTGTACTTACCAATACATTTTTGTATAGTTGAATAATCTGTTATTGTAGTTTATGAACATAGTAAAATACTTGGCGTCAACAATGATAGATATCTGCAGCTATAATATACCTATCTTCTATGACATACACGTCGTACGAGGTATATTGTATATTATTTGAAATTTGAAATTTGATTAAATTATGTATTATAAAAATAAAAATAAGTATTTCAAGTTTAGAACCTTTATCGGTAAAATATTATGAAAAAATGTTACTGCGAGTATATTGACTATTTAGATATTCGCTGTATATACGGTTCAAGCGTGTAGTGGCGGTTGACGGTTTGGTGCCGGCACAGGAACTATATAGACTAAAACCGTTTGGTGGACGGAAAGACGGAAACGAAATAGCAGCTGCCTCCTTGATATTCGTACGCGGACGACGATGACGACGACGGTTATTGTAATAGTGAGTGAATGAGTGCTGTGTATAATAGGGAAAAAAAAATCGAACGCATTGCAGCTGCTTACGCCTTTGCACGCATGTGATGGCGATAATGTTATAATGTTATAATGTTATAATGATATGATGTACATATAACTTACCCATATAGGTAGCCAGTGCCCGGTATCTACCTATATTAGTATTAAATTCTACGCATGATCATGAAAAAAAAAAAAAAAAAAATTATTTAAGAATAAATGACTGGTAGCAAAATGTTATGCCAAAATGATTGTCTATGTAATAATGATTGTTTAATAAATTATAACTTACATACAGTTCATAACTCTTTCCCTTTGATTAGCCAATAAGAGCTGATAAACAGATAAAATAACACACGTGTGTAGGCAATGGATATAATAATATTGTTATTACTAATGTTAATTAAATCAATTATTTGGTAGTCGTGAAATATACTGTAATATGATATGATGCTGCAAACCGCACGAGAAAAACAATTTATTATTAAACAATACATATAAGGCTTTACAATGCGTATAATATAATTATACACCTGTCGCCTGTTACCTATGCTTTGTATACGAATAACCTAAACAATTATTTTCAATTGTCATCTTAATACAGAATACTACATAAGGATCTGCTCTAATAATATAATTATTAAACATGTCTCGTGAAAATTCGTTGTACGGCGTGTATTTGTGTTTAATACTAATTGTAGACTGTAGTTAAACATTTGTAAAAACTACATAATATTTTATTATTTATAAAATACCTAAATCTTCAAGATTTAATGTTACGTATAATATTTAAGCAAATAGAATTTTACAATTTTTAAAGATTTTCCGTTTAAAAATTAGTAGTCAGTACCTACATATTATTTGGTAGTTAGGTATTTGTTTAAAATAGTACAAGTTACACTTACAACTGGTAATATAACTCAAATGTTCTATTATCAGTTGTAGGTTTTAACTTCTATGTGGGTTGGTAATAGGTACAACTATAACACTAGGTTTACAAATTATACAATTACAACTTTATTTTTAACGAGAACAAAAATACGCAAAATATAAAATATATTCATGTTTTATTCAAAAAGTCACGTCAATTCTAATTTACTAACTGAATAATAATATACCTATAGTCTCTAAGTAGATTTAATTTTCGACGACACTGAATTTATAATTAAATTACTTGTTATTAGCAATTAGTATTTAGTATGTACAATAGGTAGATACAGTTACAAAATTTGAAACACGTTGGTGATTCAAACTGTGTTAAAAAGTTTTTAATTTCTAATTATTTTTAAAATATATTTAACTCATCATTAGGTGTTTTAACTTAAATTTAATTTATTTCTCGCGTAGAAGTCTGCAGACTATTATACCGTCTACGTTGTTGCGTATCTATTTGTTGTATGAATACCATGGATGTATGATAATTATTACATTTTATTTAAAGAAATAGAAATCTAAACTAGGAATAACATATTATACGTACATAAAATACAAATAATAACAACTAACTAAATAATTCATGACAAGTAATAAATATAACTAAACGCTATTTGGTACGTTTACTTGTACAATATAAGCATTAACCTCATATTTTTTTTCTATTTTTTTTTTTTTTTTGTTTTGAAATCAGCACTCACGATGGACTCAATTTAAGTGTAATATAGTGGAAGTCTACATATTTTCAAACTTTATAGAATAAAGATAGTATATTATTAAGTTATAAAGTATTTAAAAGGCTGAAAGTATAGGTGTACTCATGATTATATAGATATCTTCTCTACATCGTAGCCCTACAATATACAATTCGTTCATTACCACTATGTCTTATAAGTTATAACCCATAATTAAATAATTATATATTTTGAAGTTTTTTTCTAAAAAGAAAACCACTGCTCACATTACTTCTCATACCTATGCCACCTTATCTAAATTCTACGTATTATTGATTTTAAAGCTGAATTGTAGTTACAAAAGCTCAAATTATGTTTTAATAATAGGTAGTAAGTAGTTGTTATATTTATAATCAATGTTTTGTGTGTAGACTGCAGAGAAAATGATTGAAACAATGATAAAAGTTGTTTCCAATTAGAAGTCGTTGTCTTGATATATATTATATACCTATCTACCTTAGTAGTTAGTACGCTATTCGTGAGATTTTTGCAAATGTCGATAAAAAACCCCCTGAACAAATTTATTAGGTAATTTGAATCCTATAGGTTGAATTATTTATTATTGTAATGTATACGTAATAAATAATCTATAATTCAATAATGTACACTAGTGCTTTGCACAGTCCGTTATTTTAGGGATTGTACTGGGCTTTAAATTTGAACAAGAGACCGAATTCCGACCGGACCACACTTAAAAGTTAAACAGAAGACCAAATTCGAACTGAACCCATGGCTACATATTATTAATAAACCAGACCGGACCAATAATTAAATTAATCGAATAGACGAATAGAGTAAACCCGGACCGGACTAATGGTTCGATCTTAAAACATTTTGGACCGTTTATGGACCGGACCGTGAAGTTCAGCCAATATTAGCCAAGACCGAACCATACGATGCTATAATAATAATACTCGAAATAATGTTGAATTTCCTGAGATTACGTGTTATGATTTATGAATTCTATGAATAAAAATGAAATTATATCCTTTGACCTTCATGTCTGACGGGTGGTAGTCGATGATATTTACGGACAACCGATGACATTTAGTAATCAGTACAATCAATTTATAAATAAATATTTACCATTAGTTGTGGGTTTTTATTTAATGGTTTTCTTATTATTTGTGTTACATAACAATATCTTATTTAGATTTTAAGTACCTACCGTGATTGAGACCGGACCGGACCGAACTAATTTTCATATTTTTTTTTTGAAACCGGACCGGACTAATAATAATGCATTTTATCTGAGGACTAGACCGAATTACTCCTAAAAAATATTGAATCGGACCAAACCGACGATTCAATAGTTTTTGTATGTTAGGATAGGACCATGCAGAGCACTAATGTACACCACGAGTTTGATAAGAATTGCGTTGTTTGTCATAATATGTATTGCGTCGTAAAATAATATAATAATATTAAAAGTTGAAATGGCACACTTACCGATTTTGGCAAGCTTACTCCATCTATTTAACCATGAACTATATGTCTATACGGTGTCCAAGTATGGATATATATTCATGGCCGGCGGAAGGCAGGGGCGGCCTGGGCAACAGCCCAGGGCGGAAATTTTTGTCTAAATACCCATGGGCGGCATTTTAGCTAAAACTTTCGATTTTATAATAAATTGTATTAATATTATTAGTATATTTATATTTATGTGTTATGTAAAGACTATTTTATACTTTAATTTTATGTTTATGACGAAAATATTATGACTATGAAAATAAATATTTTTAGATAAACCAATATTATTGCATAATTTGTATCATATGATTATTTAATGTTTTTATTCATTTAGTTTTAATAGGGCGGCATTTATAATTTAGTCCAGGGCGGCAAAATAGCTCGCGCCGGCTCTGTATATTATATTAATGAGGTCTGAGGAATACTTAAAAAATTGTGCATACCTACCTACACTCAATTAAATTGATTTTCTGAAATAATAAGTTTGATTTTTGTTTGCAAGTATTCTGAATTTCGATTTAAAAAATATTTGTAATCTCAGCTAGATGTACTAATTAGAAGTAGATTTTGAATAAGTTTGTGCATTTCTGTAAGATATGATAAAAATTTTTCACAAATATTTATCACGTAAACTATTGTTATAATCGCTTGAGACTTAAATTCGTATAATTGTATCGTATTATTTTAAAGCATTTTTTATTTGTTTTAAATTTAATAGATCTTTAATATGTTGACGTTGTATAGCATTATAGTGGATTTGACGTTAATGGTTTTTTGTTTGTGCATTTCAGTAAAAGATTAAAAATCAATGAAAGTTATTGTTAATTATTAAAATTATATTACCTATATTGTTATAGTAGTAATTGAGTTTTTAAACATATCAGTTGGTATGTCTTTAAGGAATAAAAAATTTTAACATATTTCACACATCAGTTCGATACATTATAGTTTAATGTAGGTACCTACATTTTTTAAATAAGAAATAAACACTTACCGTAGTATTCTAGAAGTGTTATTTTTGGAAATCTTTTGTATATTTTTCAGGAAATTAAAGATATACAAATTTTACTAAAACAGAATTTAAATTATTAATAAATAATCGTAATAGGTATTTGGATATAATAATATTGTAAATAAAGTCTCGTATCAATGTACCATAAACATGATTCGTCGATCAATTACATTTAATGAAAATTAATTTTATCAAATTGTCATGCAACTCGACATCAAAGTCTTGTGATTGTTTGTGTTATGTGCAATAATTGATACAAGAAAAATAAAATTGACATCGGGAATAAATAACAGTCAAAATAATATATCTGTCAATAAAAAATAAGATACAATATTAAAACAGTAATTAAGTGTAATGTATGGGGAAAGAAGATGTCGATCGTAGGTACACAATTATACTGACGTGTTAAGGTATTACAAGTTAAGGGACACCGCTTTTACAATAAAATTATACCTATTATAGTAAAACGAAAACAATTACTATTATTTTGTATAACGTTAAATTAAGATATAAAAGTATGGGTTTTCTTTCGGGGATGACAGCTACTAAAAGACAATTATATAAATATATTTTTTTTCTAACGATAGTTCATTCTGCTTATTGCTTATTTCTATGTAATTATCTTAGGTCTCTTGAAGTTTCAGGTTAAGTGACCAATACCATCCATTCTGTTTATCGGCACTCAGTAGTGATGTGCAAGCAAGTCTAACAATACAGTTTCTGCACACCAGTTTTGAGTCAGATGTGGCGAATTTAATTAGTCTTTCACCTTGTTATTTGACATCCTATGTGAAAAAAACATTCTCTTATTTGGAATTATAAACAGAATAATTATTATTACACTTGGTAGTGCTTTTCATAACATCATCTTTCTAACTAAAGCAGAAATAAATGATAAATAAAAATATTCTTAAGAATTCTAAAATTTTAGAATTACCTTTTAAGTTTAAAATTTTAGTCAATAGTCCTCTATAATTTATCATAAACAATTGATTTGTAGGTCATGCATAAAACTGTTACCATTTGCATTACAAATAATAAAAAATAAAAAGATGAATCATTGATTTCAGTACAAATTATTATTAAATATTAGTGTTTTGTAAAAATATCTAAGGATGATTGTATAATATTGGTTTGTTTATGAGTATGAAGTAAGTATATAATAAGGAATAACAATTTAGGAAAAAATACCAAACAATTTTTTTATAATTTCAATTTTAAATTGTATTTTAAATGAGCCAGTTTCATTACTGCTGATTATAAATATTAAATTTATAACAAAATAGACAAAGTTACAGTTACGGATACATAAAAACATTTTCATTCACAGCTACATAATATAAGTACCAACTAAATAAATATTGATAAAAGAATCAATTAATACTATTTCTACATTTATCACTCATTTTAATTAGTTTATGTTATTATGTAGGACATATGATATACATAATATAATTTTAAAACAATATAAACATTGTGTATACATGAAAAACTTATTTTAAATTCATAAATACATGGTCATATTATATGATATTTTATTGATAAATATATCAAATATATTATATATTATATAGGTGGACAATAATAATTGTTTATAGGTAAGTCACAAGTATAAATATTATATTAAAAAAAAAATGTTAATCAATTATAATAAAAATTGATAGTTATAATTAATATTGCTTAAATTATGTCCCCACTTTATAAAAGGAAATGTCTGAGGCCAGCCAGAACAACATTTAGCTATTTTTTTCATATAAATCAAACATAATGAATATAGATATAACATTATTCAAGTGCTTATACGACTATATACTGAGTTATAAATTAAATTTCCTAATTTTTAACGGTTGAAAATGTTTAGTACAAATATTAATTATTTATTCTGGATTGTATACAAATTTAATATATTAGATAGTTTTTTTTTAAATTTAATAGACCAGTCAATGGTCAATATTTGAAATTTAAAGACTTGGTTAAATGTTTAAAATACTTATCGTCATGTAATCCATTATTGTTATATATTATAATAATAACATTTCGATAAATTTTTCTAATAGGATTTTTAATTAGTAAAAATTGGTATTGAATCGTTAATCATAATAAAATATACTTGAAAAAACACACAAAATTAACACTATGAGTTGTTTACTATGATGAGAGACATAGTTGTTCATAGTTTTTTAGATAATATTTCATTTATTATTTTGTGCTCAAGTAATTATTTAATTGTAAACACTTTTAAATTTGAATTTTTAGAGGTTTATTACGTTTAATGGTTTATGAATACAAAGATTCATTGCAAATTTATTGCTTTAAAAATATTTGTGCGTCTAAAGTTGTGCGATATTAAATTTTCAAATAATTATAAGATTAACGACTCATAGAATTTGAAAAAAAATAATAATATAAGTACAAAAATATCGGTAACTAAAATAAAAATAAAATTTAGAAGTAATAAATTTAAAATAAATATTTAAAATGTAAACAAATAATAAATATTTGGAATCAAAAATTAAAAAAATAAAATAATAAGGACGGCAATATGTTTGGCCATTAAAACAAACAAAAAAAAAATAAATTATATAATACTATTTCAATGGAAATTAAAATATAAAATAATTAAAAAAAGAATGTACTTGGGTATTTTTTTGTCAATAATATAACTTTGTTATTAAGGACAGATGATAGGAAACAGGTTCAATTAGACAACCGCAAATGCAGATCTGCTGAGTCATCTATTTCACTCTCAGTAGTATCTACTGATGCTGACCTCTCAGTCTTGCCGATAGTGTTGCCGTTGTTCACCCAACGTTGTTTCCATGCTTCAAGTCGCATAACCTAAGAATATGATGGTTTTAATTGATAAATTAACAAGTTTTTAATTGGTCTTTATTTATATTTATATATAAAATGAGCCACTTAATTTATTTTTATAGTTATATGTAGTTTTTAATTTTAAGGTTAGTGTTAGAAAATCAAATGTTAATTGAAGTATTATTTTCAATTATGAAATGATTTAATAGTTTGAAACACAAAAATTAAGTAATACTTGAAAAAACAAAAATAATTTGTTATTACAAGTGGTTCATTCAAAATATTTAAAGAAATAAATATATTACATAATATATTACATACATACCCATTTAATTTAAGAATAAAAGCAAGTTAATGAAAGTGAGATATTAATGTATAAATAAAAACGTGCAAACTCACTGTGTCAGCCTAACCATTTCCATGGTTCAACATCTGGTGTGGTCGGTGAGAGCAGCTAGAAACCATTTTTTTTTTTTTTTTTTGGTTAATATAAGCGTGCTATTTAGTGATGTTATTAATTAAACAAGCAATGACAATAACAATGATATTAAATGTTATGCAGTATTTTTATTTATTTATTATAAGTTGGTTTTACTCCTATATCATATAGCTAAGAGTAATCAAAAATATAATTGTACTTTATAGATATTTCTAAACTTTTTTATTAAAACAACATAGTATTGATAATGTTTATCAATAACAATAGTCTATAACTTTTTATACATGGGTTTTTTAAAAATTATTGATGAAACATGAAAAACAGAACCATAAGAAAATAAAATGCTTCTAATATTATTTAATTTTCTTACATTCTTTAAGATTGCTTGTTGGTGTTTTTAATATTTTAATTTTAAATAAAAATAGGAAACTTCTTCAAAATTTCTTATAATTTACTTTATTCTATAGTTACAGATTCACAGATTTTCAGAAGTTATGAGAAATATATTTATTTCATAATAAGCGCTAGAATATAAATACCCCAAGGTTTTGCTAAAAACAACAACATGTTATTGTAGAATATAATCAAATTACTATTATATCAATTAGTATAAATTATTTATCATAGAAATATTATAATTGCATTTATGATTCTGGGATGACCTATCCAATGTTAATTAAAGTTTCACTGATTTGCAAATTATGATCTAGCTATTTGCATTAACAAAAACAATTAGAACATTTCTAAATTTTAGAATGATTAGTCTAGAAAAATTGAATGGAAGACACCATTATATAAGGAAGTCCATATTACAACGTATTAATATGTACCATAGTCGTTTGGCACCTTCAAGCACATGACTATTATAAAATTAAATTTGAACTTAGATATTTAAAATTATACTGCAATTTGAGTTAATATGTATTTTCTAAATTTTCCATTCACCAAATAGAGGAAAAAAGAGTGTAATGCTCTCATAAAATATAGTTGTTAGTATTATTAGTAAATATTAAACACTAGTAAATTAATTTATTATTATTATTTATAATATATATAGCATGTTAAAGAAGCTCATGAGTTTGTCATAAATAGTATTTTTAATTTATTTTCTCAGATATGATATCTTACTTCTGCTTTAAGATCAGCAACCTTATCTTGAAGTTCTTTGACTTTATCACTGTCGTCTAATGAGTTATTTCGAAGTTCACCTTCAGTTACCATTTCTTCATTCTAAAATATACAAATAACAATTTATTTTAGTATATATATTGTTTTAAAGTTTTTCTATACCAATCAAATATTTGCACTAACTTTAACTTCTAATCTTGAAATTTTTTGGTTTAATTCTGCCACTATTTGAGCATGCTCAGCTTCTCGTATCCTTGATGAAATCATGTCATGTTTCATCTATAAGAAGTTTAGTGAATTGATATGGATTAATGAAATAATTAAAAATAACTATTAAGTAAAACATACTTTAGATTCTAAGTCAGTATACTTATTCTGTTGTTCCCTAAGTTTTGCTACTATATCTCTTTGTTTAGTTTCAGCTAATTCTAACTGTTCACGCACAGCTTTATTATCATCATCTTGCCTTCTTAATTGATTTCCACTTACTTGGACTTGTGTCTCTAGTTCCATGACCTTAATAATTAAAAGAATTATCATTTATAATTATAATAAATCACCCTGTCTTAAATATTGTTATGAAATTTTAGTTTAAGAAAAATGTAATGATTTGGAAATTATTTGATTGATATAACTTTGTTAAAAACTATTTTCATGTCTGGAATAAAATCAATTAGCTATAATACAATATTTATAATAATACTTTATAGTAAAAAAAAATTTATACTTTTAATCTTAGTTCTTTTAATTCAGCCAAAGTCTCCATTTCTCGAAGTTTAGAAGTCATAAGTTCTTCTTCAAGCCGCTGAGTTTCTGCATTGTTCCAGTTTAATAGATTACCGATTTTTTTGGGTGTTGAATCAGGCGCAGGAGGTGGGTCGATCCTTTTTTTATCTAGTAAATGCCTTTGCCATTGAGAGTTGATTTCATTTACTCGTTGTCTGAGATCTTTTAAAGATAAATTGGCTTCTGCTTCTCTCAATTTCACAGCAATTAATTCTTCTTGAAGATGTGCAACTGAATTGTCTACGACTGATTCTCGAAGAGTTTTCTTGTCCTGTAAAACATTCATTAGAATTTGTTCAGTTTCACACTTTAAAATTGTACTCACATGTTCTAATTCTCCAATTTTATCTTTTAGATCACGTATTGCAGCCTCGTTTTCAGCATCTCGTAATCTAACTTTGACCAATTCTTCTTGAAGATCACTGATCATTTCTTCTTTAAGTGATAACTGTTCTTGTTTTATCGAAAGCTCATCCAGAGATGATTGACAAGAGTTGTGCTGAAAAATAATTGATTTAATTAACAACTTAATTTAAAAAAAAATTACTATTAAATATCAACTTACATTTTCTGTTATCAAAATAGACATTTGTTTAATTTCGTCCAAAGCATTTTCTAGAGCGTGAGATGTCTCTAAATGTGTATGTCTTAAAGCAGTTAATTCTCGTTGTACAATAAATGTTGTTTCTTCTTCTTCAGCACGAGATACTTGACCTCTTACTAACAGACCAGCAAGTTCACTAGACTCAGCTTCTAGTAGTTCAACTTTTTGTCTTAACAAGCGATTTTCAGTACGAAGTTTCTATTATAGAAACATATTTAGTAAATAATGTGTACAAATTAATAATTAGTTATTTAAATAATATCATTAATATAATGACAATTTTTTATGTTAAAAAATAAATGCAAGCGATAGAGCAAGGAGTAGTATAAAATGACTAAAGTTAAAAACAAAGAGATAAATTTTATATTTGAATAAAAATGAAGTTACATTTTTAAAGTATACATTTTTTTAATCACAAAGTTGTTTTAAATAAATAGATTTTGTTTATTCTTTTAAAATTTTACAATTTTAATAGTATATTGGTAAGCTAGCGTGTGCAAATTTTACAAGGTATGTGAAGCCGTAACAAAATTCTACATATTAATCTGGGCACCTTGAGTTCAACCATTTCTTCCTGTTCTTTACTCTTAAAAGCTGTATATTCTTTTTCTAATTTTTTCATGCGTTTAACATTATATTTAATGGTAAAAGCTTGTGCCATTAGACCATCAGTATCAGAATTAGCACGAGAAGGTAATTCTTTCTGGAAAAACTATAAAAAAAAGTATATATAATATATTGAATACAATTTATTATTATTATTATTAAAATTGATATGGTACAAGTTACTCACTCTAAGCATTCCTTCCATATCTAAACATAAGAGATCATCTTTACCTAATTGAAGCAATGCTAAAGCCACTTTAAATATTATTTCTATTCCTTCAGACAGAAAAACATCAATTATCCTAGAAAAGAAACTTGTATAAGTGAAAAGTACAATATTGTTTATTGATGACATTGTATACAAATCTGTTCAATAAATTAGATACCTGCAAGCAGTAGGTAATGCAAGTGCAGTGGTGAACAATGTCAGAAACCAACTACTTGCGTACATACTAGTATGGAAGCTTTGGGATTGAAAATGTACATAAAGTTCTGGAATGTGATCCTGTAAAAAAATTATAAAGAAACTAATTTATAAGCATAAATACTAGCAACTCACACACACACACACATATATTTATATATAATAAGATGTATACATTTTTTTATAATTGTACCTATAATTTATTTTAAAAACATAGTATACCTGAACCAAATTTTCTAATTGATACATGCATAGACCAAGTTCAGCCATGGTTGGTTTGAACATATCTCGCATTTTATAATCTTGCATTATCTTTACAAAAACAGCAAATGCTTCTTCCTCAGGCATTTGCATTAGTAATAACCCGACTATAAATCCTGAACCCTGGCAGTAGCCCACCTCACGATCATGTAATGAATACGCTTTCATGACATTAAATAGGCTTTCTTGTCCAAGCCCGTCTTTTTCTTTGAAAAAATCATGTTCAGGATAGGTACGTGCAATGTCCCTCCTAATGACCTAAAACATATTATTAATGGTTAGGTAATTATAATAATAAATGTAATATAAATAAACTGTATTATTACTTTTTCACATGCCGACGTGGCTTTGATGTATTCTGGATATTGTTTTCTGATTGGTGAATCATTAGCGCCACACAATAACTGCCATACGATTCCTCGGAAATGGTGAGGTACTCCTTTTCTAACTAATTCCTTGAGGTAAGCATTTTTTTTCTTGTTATAACTCTCCCAGTCATTAACAACTTGTCCCCAAAGACCCCATACATCTTCCTCGCCATCTTGACTTGAGCCTGTACCTAAATAGCAAAAACATTATTAAATTACCTAAATTATGATTGAAAACAGACCTCGAATGCCTCGGGAGTGAACACGAATGTAAATAAAAATACTATTTTTAAAATACTTTTTTCGACTTAACATCTTTGATTGTTCGCGAGGTGCCATATTATATTTTTAAATCAATATTTAGAGTCCAATAGTTGACAATCTACTAACGACTGTTAATATTGTACTGAGTAACTAAATGTTTAAGATTTATTTCTATCAGACAGACCACATAACAAAATAATGATAATAATAATAATAATAATAATAATAATAATACTAATAATAAGATGTGATAGATAGAAATTAATGTCAGCTCTGAAAATAATAATATATTATATAGACTATAATAGGTTTCATGTGTTGAATGAAAAATAGAGATAAAAAAAATTAGGAAAATAACAATAATTAAACGATTAATATAATTTAGACGACATTAATTAACTATATTATGAAATGCAATCTATGAATTAAATATAAAGACTACTTATTTTAAATTATTCATTTTTTTAAATTTAGTCTTTTGGTTCTCTAACTGTTTGAAAAAAAGACTTCTAAATGTTGCTGAAGAAACTAAAATTTTCCCGAATCTTAATTTGATTTTTGTAATCAAAATTCTAAAATCCATCAAATTAATTTTATAGTAAACAAAATATATTTTTAAATATTTAACTGGTTCTTTTTTAGACATTCCTCAAGTGTTCGGCCACGTCTAGCATGTAGATCTTCTGTTAAAATTGAAACTCATCTAACTATCTAGTTATTAATTTATATTTAAATTCTACTTAGATGATTGCTTCTTATAATCTTATTAGTACGTTATGGCTCATCCACCTCTTCACCAAAACTAATAAACGTAGGATTCCTTCAAGGTGCAGTCACTCCTATTCAATTGTCTAACATCTTTATAACTGACAAACCTATGGTACTCACTAGTCTAATTGGAAGCTTTGTTGACGACAAAGTTCTTATAAGTTTATACCATTATTTGACCTTGTGTTATTTAAGAATAGCTGTCCCTAGTTTTTTTATAAAAATGTTACAAGAAATGGAGAGTGAAAATACGAGTTAATTTGATATCCACATAAATGTAAAAAACTCTTATCTTTAAATACCTAATCAATTTCGTCTTTTTAGCTCTTTCTATTAACGTCCAAGTACATAAAATTATTAATTCAACTTCTAATAAGCTCTTTCCTAGATCAATATGGATGTACGAAATCCAATTATAAGCTTCTGAAAAAAATCTCGAACACCAACCCGTATTCATAATTTTCAAATCAAAACTCTCAGAATTATAACCAAAGCATCCTTTTACGTTTAAATCAGACTGTACATTATGATTTTTTTTTCTGTCCACGATAAAACTAGAACATTTTACAGATAATTCAAGTTAAATCTTCAAAATTTTACAAATCCTTTAATCAAAGGATATGTCAATAAACATATATGGTAATCTTTGAAGGCGGTGGTACATACGAATTTATACCAAAAACCTTGTATTAATAACATTTTAATTAAACAAATAATCATTCTAAAGATTTAATTGTTTAAATTTCATTGAACTTACATTATATTTTTTATTATTTTGACGGATGATATCTTAAATCCGTATCATATTATTTAATATGTCAGTATTGATTTATAAATTATATTATGCGATACATTTTTTACTTATTTGATTAGTTCACCGAATCAAATAAATGCTATTAATATAAGAAAATGGATCTCTTTAGCTCAGAATTAATTTTGTATGTAATAATCAATAATTTAATTAATATTTAACACATCTATTGCAGAGACTTTCTCAATGATAAGGTATTCTCAAAACAAGCAAAAAGAGTACTTTTTTTTACCTATGTCCACTGATTAAAATTAAATTAAAAATAACTTTTTGGTGACATAACTATTAGAAAAAAATTAAAGACAGACATATTAGTACACTACTACAAAGGCACTATTATCGAGGCATAATACAATTAATATTATTTTTTTATAGGCGAATTCTACATGAATAATTATTTGAATGAAATTTTTTTGGTGCTTAATATATTTAAATTACATTAATATTACGTTTTTGAAATATATTCTTAGCAAACTTTTTTTTTTTTGAGGAAATATGCGTTTTATCTGATACAAAAATATTCAAAAGCTACTATCCAGTTAAACTTTGTGTTCAAATATATTGTAGTTACTGTAAAAAATTATCTGTTAACTGAATAGTAGCTTTTTAGTTTGAGCACTATAGCTAGCTATAATAAATATATACAAACGTAGGATTTTATGTGTGTTAATTTTACTTTTTATGTTATTTATACAGAAGTTTATAAGTTATCAATCATATAATATTATAAACAATAAATAAAACTAAGAGCCGAAAGTGCATTATGCCGATGTTTAACAATGCAAGTCAAAAAATTCCATAGTACGGATGAGCACTCGTCTATGAAATGAGACTTTCTAGATAATTATGGAGGACTGCGATAAAATGTAATATCGCATAGAGAACACCGAAGATCTATCTGTATTTCAAATTTTTTTTTTAAATTATTATATTTAATGATTGATTATTATTTATTATTCAAACAATTTGATGAACACATTTTATTATAAAATAAATATTATTAGTACCAATTATAATATAATATCTAGGTACTATAATACATTTAAAAATGCCATAAAAACTCCTTATGTATAAAATGTAGATATATGTTTGTTTACATGTATTATATTTTTAAGTATATCGAGTGACTCAACACCGTACATTGTGTGGATTTTAAATAATGAACACGCAAAACGCCCAAGCATGGAACAACTGTTAAATAACCGTTACAATGAAATAACGTATTAACATTATGATTTATATTAATTATTGAAGTATATTTTAAACATATAATAAATGAGACAAAAATAAAAATGCAATCATAGATAAGATATTTGTGTACATATAATTATATTAATTGAATTATATTTGATTATATAGATCGTGACGAATTAATCGGAGTAAATTAATCGGGTATTCAATTACTATATTATAATTTGTTTATAATCATTGTCATTATTCCATTTCAGACAGAGATTACCGGTGAAAATAAATACACCTACGTTTTTAATTTCTGCAAATACTTACTAAATAAAATGTATATTGTAATATATTATAATTATTATTTATTAGCTATAATATAATAATGTGATCATAATATATTAATTTATTTTATTATATTTAAGGCATTTTAAGATTTTGAAATTTAATAAATTAATTATAAATTTACAACAGAAAGTATGATTTAATTTATCAATATATTAAATAATAATTTTTATTTTCAGTATAAAAAATAAAAAATAATATAATATGCATTACTGTTATAAATTATTTATTTTCCTATATATATATTTATACATAGGTGATAACACAAATGTCAATAGCGTTTTGTATAATCAAAATACAGTATCAATAAAAAAAATTAATAACCTAATAACTATGAATTAAGCATTATGTAATCTGTTCTTTTGTTTAAGACAGACCAGTTGTAATTTGAAATGCAATTGCTTTATTATAGTAACATAATACATTCAATAACTAGTTAAATGGATAGTTAACTTTTTTTAAAATAATGTTTAACATAAATTTATGATTATTAAACAATCAAACTTATGTGAATACTTCCTGGTAAATATATTTAATTTATAATAAGTACCATCTGTCTATACATGATCAATGAAACGTATGCAGTATCTGTATTTACTTATTAGGACAAAGATTAATGTTAAATCATATTTTATGATGTAGTTCCAAATATGATCGATCATAGTACCTAAATTTGTTTGTGAAACGTTATTTTAATATTATTATTTATTAACAAATAATATAGTTTATCAACTCGTAAAGTGAAAGATACGTGTAAAAATTTAAAACAATTTATGAATACCTTATTCCTAATATACCTAATTACTTTTATACCTAAGCTTATAAATTACTTAAAAATAATTTTATCTTATTAACATTAAATATTCATATACTTTATTACTTAAACTTATTATTTTTTTTTTTAAGTAAACAACAACCCAACTAAAAATTTTTTAAATGTTAAATTATTTTATACTCTCTGAAATTATTGTTGTTTATATTTACAAGCATTAAATAGTTAATTTGAACTATTATATAAAAGAAAAAAATTCAAATGTTATTTTAAAGCCACCATACGTATATAATGCAACGCGAATAGCGTACTTAATTGTAACTTTAGAGTAACTATTTTGGTTGTATTCTAATTTAACTTTGAATTTATGTAAAATATAATGCACTAACACAATAATACAATTTGTACTTACCAGACACAAGTGAGATTTGTGATGCATCGGAACTTTTTCTGGAATGTGTGCTATTGTTAGATATGGAATTGAGCGATTTTGAATCCGACTCGATGAGCCTAGGAACGTAGAAAATTGTCATTTTTTAAATAATTCTAATAACTTTAAAGCTAATTTTTTGATTTAAAATTTGTACTTTAAAATGTTTTATTATATAAAACGACAAGTTATTAGGTTATTCTAAAATGTTCTGAGGGTTCTGTATCAACACACAACAATAATGATATAAAAATATTAGGACAATAATAAGCTTATCGCGATATATTTTATCACCAGAGCTCAAAATATTTTAAATGATAATTACACGTAAATGCATCACATAATTTGATCAAAATATAGTGGCATATTAATATTTAGTTTTGAATGTACCAATATACATAGAACATTCATACTTTATTATACAAGCATTTATAGTTAAGGTGAACAAAGTAGTGGAGCACTATATTCCTAGGGGTATTCCCTGTCGTTTCACTTATCTTATCTAAATAGTATACTTAGTTTAAATGTTTATATCTACGTATGTTTAATATTTGATGCTTATTAATAATAAGTTATTATATATTTATTATTTATACATCAATATTTCCGAAAACTGTTGCTTTGGAATATTATTAAACATCATATTTGCAACCATTAAAAATAAGAAAAAATGAACGTTTTAAATAAATATATAATTGATGTATAATTATCATTCTGTGTAAATTATTTTACAATAGTTCATTAAATAAAAAAATGAAATGTAATACATATATAAATGTTTAATGCAGATTATACCGATTCAAATGTATATAGTAGACTAAGATTTATTTCAGTATGATTTTTAATTCGGGATAGTTTAGCAGATAATGCTATACAGTATAGGTATATCAAGTGATACATTAAAAGCAAATTATTCATGTATGTCTGTAAAAATGCACTTTAGAGAGTTCCATCTCAAATAATTTTAAAGCCTTTAATGTTTTTCTAATAAAACTTATTTAAAAATTGCAATAATATCTTTGGTCAAAAATATTAATTTTTGGGTTACCGTTAATAAAACTTTTAAAAAAAAGTATCAAAGATCAAAATCTTTATGTTCAATAAAAGTATGATGGATTATAAGTAATAGCTAGTTATTTCATTATTAAACAAATTTTGTTTTATTTGTCGATAAAATTGAGTTTTAAACCAGTGGTATGCAATATAAGTCAATAAACAATAATTTAAATCTGATGAATTTTCAAATTCTTACATAAAAATTGAAGAATTTTTATAATAAGTGAGATTTTATTGATGACTTCATAATAACCCTCCTATATGTAATAGAAAAATTTATATCTAGTGCAGTAGTACCTCATTAGTAATATAAGAACTTACCGATTGGCTTCCTCGAGTTTCGCTAACAGCGCCAGTTCTTCGGTGGTTAATGCCGGTTTTTCACAAGGATCGTCGACGTAGTCGTCGTTGTAGTTGTTGTTGTTGTTTTGGTTGTTATTTATGAATTCTGTGGTTGTCTGTGATGATACCAACATATCAGACGAATTAACTGGAGGGCTCATCGTAGTCGTCCAGGCCGTGAGGCCAAGACTTCGGGGTACTTTCGGTTGACGTGATCAACCGGATTTCCGGTGGTTGGATGGTCGGAAGACATTATAATTACGATCAGTTGAAACCTATAACGATATAAAATCAATTTATTACTAAATAATAGGTAGTAAAATTAATACGTATTACACCGATATATAAATATGGACGATATAGAATCAACAAAAAATTTGTTATTCGAGCTTAAGGTCACAGATAAGATATATTCAACAGGTATGCGTTATGGATTAGGCCGTTATGGTCCTTGTTAAGTTAAATAATTTTATTCCCCAGTGTTTGAGGAGTGAAAATTAAGTAAACGATAATGTAAAAGTGTATTTAAATACTTATCATAAATGTGTCACAACTACTTTTTTACTTTTGTTATAATTTATGATGATGAATAATACATATATATAGGAATGCCATGTATCAGATACCTAAAACTATATTTTAATCAATACATTTGTTGGTCTTGTTAGTTGTTGGTATATAAATAATATTAAAATAGAAAAAATACATTTATACAAATACCATTTATAAACGGTATTTTAGTATAGTAATATAAATAATTTTTTTTTTTTTTAGTGGACAATATGAATTTAACACATGTTAACTGAAATATGTTTTATCAATGAAGAATAATCAAACTATCTTGGTTTTCAAAAATACCCTTGGCTCAAGTCAATACATAAAGTTAACTTAGGATATAAAGTGAATATATGTTAGGTATATTCGTTAATTAATAATTAAGCTATTTTAAGTATTTATTTCTTAGTTTTCTTATATTTTTCGGTTAAAAAAAAAGTTAATACCGTAACTAAATAGTTTGTAATTTTAAGTACAAAGGGGATTCAGATAATTGATAAACAACACATAAAATAACATGAATAATTACGATATAGAGAAGTTACATATTTTTCTACAACGTAGTAACAGGATGCTTTTTTATTATAAAATTTCTAAAGGTTATTTGACTAATACTATATATTTCTGTGGCTATCCAGGAAATTAAACAATAAATATACTCTTATTATGATAATGTATAATACGTTTTAGCTTTTAAGAATTTACTGATTAATTTTAGTTGTATGGAATGTAGGGAGATGATGTATAGATTCAATATGCATTATGAGTTAAAGTACATTACGGATATAAGTTAAAATCTGATGCACATGATCAAATCTTAAAAGCATAATATTTTTTAATGATTTTTTTATAAATAAAATAACAAAAAATGTTTATAAATATATTCATAAAAAAAATAATATATATAAAATAGATAGAAATAATGTATGTATTATATATGATAATTAGGAACCTTCCATTAGTTCTATTGTGGCTAATTCTAAAATCTATTTAATATGTTGTGTTCTATATTGTAGTCCTGTATCATAAAAAAAAGAGGATAACACTTTTAAGTTTTTGAGTCATCATTTATTTTAAATTTGAAATAGAACAGAATAAATAATGAGAAAGCTGTTAGGCTTATAATATGATTTTTATGTTTTTTTTTTTTAAATTTGGCTAACACTTATCGGGGTAGTGAAAACAATTCTAAGTTTCATGCAGCATATTACGGTTATTACATTGGACGTTCATAAAAAATTATAATTTATATAAATACTCTTTTTTTTTTTTTTTTTGTAAAAATAGAAGCACTTATTAATAATACGCGCGATATAAACTGATTTTAGTAATATTAAAATGTATGACTTCGATTACTTTTAAGTACCCTGAGCTATCCAGCGTATTTTATACAAAGTAATTCCTTTTTTTTAAAGTTAAGTATCTCATACATAATATTATAAAAAAAGATATTTTTAAATCATTATCAATAACAAATATTTATCGTTATAGTAAATTTTATAGTTCAGTTGCAACTCTGTCAAGGTCGTGCTGGTCAGCTACTCTTACATTTAGCCATCTGACTTCATAATATCTACTTGGCCACACCTATAATCACTGTAATTTTTGGAAGAATTGAAATCAATTATATACTATCTTTTCTATTCACTTCATAGCCTAATGTAATAACATTTTTAACAGTTGTACTACCAAATACATTAAATTTAATACTTATACAAATTAATTCTATGAATATTACAAAGGTTTAACTCTTAATTAAATGTATTATAGATTTTGAGCTATATACAGCTATTTGGTTTAACAATTATGTGTTAAGTATTTTATCATTTTTTAAAGTTTTGTGATGTATCCCGTTAAGAGTTATTATTTTAGTATTTTTGCTAATTTTTGTATTATACATTAAAAGAAATAATACTTATAAGTTATAATATTAACAAAATATATTGATGTACTTTAAATTGTATTAGTAATCATACCTAATGTACCGTTTATATATATATATACTAAAAACAGCAGTTGTTTACACTTAAATAATATACAGGTAAAATACTTATACAGTATAGATAATTGAATCGTTCTACAATGATAATTATGTAAATTTGTGCGCCTAAATGATAATTTTTACTAATTTTATTCATTGATGTAGTGTAGTAATATATATTCTGTGCCCGTGTCATAGATAGTAACTTAGTAGGGACGTAAATAGATGAGTGTATATAAAGATAAAATCAGTATCAGTGTAATAAGTAATTTTAAAACTTGCTTGTTCAAAAATTTTGCAATTTCTAGTAACTATAAAAAAATTTAAACTTCATTTTGTAAAAATTACTAATAAGGTTTTGAACTTTTAAGTTCTAAGCGCTAATAGTTATTAAAATGTATGTAGTAATGGTGTTTAATACGTCAAAATTATAAATTATCGGGCTAAGTATAGTTAAAATTTTATAGATTTATTATTTATGTATAGATATTGTTAAGTATATTATAAATATACGTACAACTTCTACTGTATACATTGTACTTAGAATATTTCGATTTGTTTTTGATTTTTAATATACAGTGACTTCACTTAAATAGTATAATCATAACATGAAATATTTACAGTTAAAAGAACAAATAAATTATTTATAGAATCTACCATAATACGCAAATACTTAATAGGAGTACTTATCTACTGAAAAAAAAATGTATTGCTGTTAATATTAAATCCATCTTTACATAATACGTATTAAAATCTGGAGATAAAATCCATTATAAAATGTAATGAATTTTATATAATTTTATCGAGTACCATATTATATTATACATTAATCGCTAGTATTCACTATATTCTGAATAGTTTTATTTTTATTTTAGTTTAAATATATTGATTGATTTTTAAGTATAATATAATATAATATAATATATATATATATATAAATATACGTTAAATCCAATTGGAATAACTGTGTCTACACGGTTGTAAAGAATTACTATTAAAAAAAAAATTCTTTTCATTATTCACCACGCGTTAAACATGATGTAATTTATGCCACTAACCTGATCGACCTCGAAAACAGTTTACAACACCTGATCAAACCGAAAGCATACAATTTTCCACCATACAAACGGACTTTTTAACGTCAATATGACAAAAAACTGCAGCTGATTAAATATAGCATTTTTTTTTTTTACAAACAATTTAATTATAATTATGTATAAGTGTTTAATTTTATTGAAAAGCTTAGAATTTTTATCAAAATATATTAAATGAATATATTATATACCATTTGAATAGTTCATAATTTAAGAGAATGTCTTGACATTTTAAAATTAAGACAAATATTATAAAAATGTCATAAAATCAAGAGATTGCTGATAATATTTTATCAGTTTTTTTCAAGGTTAGCTCAAAAATTATTGGCAAATTTGAAAGATTATATTTTTTTAAATAAAAATTTGGTTTAATTTATTCTATTGAGGGTTAACTTCAAAGAAATTTTTGAATAAATATTTTGAATTATTTTTACTAAATTCATGTTAATATTATGGTGATATATACGTATATATAATGTTGTACTCCAATACATTATAATTATCTATTCTTATAAAATGTATTTAATATAATATTTCAAAATCATATATTAGTACACTTAATAATTTTTTACAGTATCTACACATTGTATTTATCGCGCACACAAAAATAGAAGCTGTAATAATACTTGTACTATCATTTATATAAACATATAGGTATATTATACACACATTTGTGAAATTTAGTCAATAGTTATTAATTAAGTAGGTATACGAACATAATGCTAATTAAATAGCATTTAAAAGTTTAATCGTTAATTTATGATAAGTTTAAAAAAAATAAGTTTGATATCACTACGTACATGGTTAATACTTACATAGATACTCAAAATAAAAATGCCTAATATGTTAAACTTTTATATTGATATAAGTCTATTATATTTTCATAGTGATTTTTAGTATTTATTATTATTTTTAAGTTATAGTAAAATATTAAAAGATACCTAATATTAGTAATAATAATTATAAGAAGGGAATTTGTTTTTGACGAAACAGACTATACTATATTATGTTCTAAGCGTGAAATAAGACAAGTGTCAGTCATTTGGTCTCTATATATAATATTGTCCAGCTTTATTTAATTTTCATTACAATTTCAGTGCATACTTTTACATTTGAGTACAATGAATAATTAATTAGTCAGAAAATTACAATACAGCTCATAATATTATTGATCCAGCTAGTTTAACTGTTTCGAAAATAGGTAGGGAAGCTATAATATAATAATAGTATAATATTTATAAATATAAATCATAATATGAATTTAAATCTTTCAAAAAGTCTGGTCAGTAGTGGTTGGAAAACAAAAATTGATAATTTATACTGTTAAATTAAAATGCAATGCTACCTGTTAATGTATACCATTTAATATGATCAGTGTTTGTATTAATAGCATCTTTTAATCTAATCTGCATCACGATCGTGGCACTAGTATTTATATTTTATGCTATTTTATATAGCTTTTAATTCTTAAATTAAAAGAAAGTTAAACCACAAAATATTTCGTTCATGTCTATTGCATATATTCTAGAAAATTTGATGTCACACTCTATCATTTTTTTTATAATTATAATAAACTTTATAGAAAAGAAAAATAATATTTTACTCTTAACGAAGGTTATTTTAAAAATATTAAATATAAGATACC